TTCCTAGCTACTTGGGAGGCTGAGGCAGAAGCATCGCTTGAGCCCAGGCCTTTGAGGTTGCTGTGAGCTAGGCTGACGCCACGGCACTCTAGCCTGGGCAACAGAGAGAGACTCTGTCTCAAAAAAAAAAAATAGGGAAAGGAAGAATTCAGTACGTAGAGGGTTTGGAAAGGAAGAAACCCACAAGGGGGCAAAGAGCTGGGAGAGAGGGCTGAGATGGAGCAAGGCTGTGAGGGTAGAGAAAACCAGAATGACCAAGGAGGATAATTTACCAGAAACACAGATCTCTCTGGCCTGGGCTTTCTTTTTTTTTGTTGGGTCTTGGGTTAAAGGGAGGAGCCATCACCAGCCTCTCTCTGTCCTTCCACTTTCTACCACTCTGTACTGGGAAGAGCTGGGGATAGGTGAGGGGCCACCACTGCTGCTCTGATGCCCAAGATCACTGCACCCTTGGGCTCAGGCGAGGAGGCAGGTGCTGGTGAGGGGCAGGAGGTGCTTCTCTCCTGCTCTGGGATTCACCCAGCATCAGGATCCAGCACCAGATGTCTATCCTTTCTGGAGAGCACGCCTCTCACCTGCTGGGAACGCAGATGGAAGCCAGGAGGGTTTCGGCAGCAGGGTCTGGGCTGGCTGTGGGTTCAGTGTTTCAAGATAGGGTTGGTTTGTCAGCCACAGGAAAGGGTAGCACCAGGAAAGATTGAACTGAAGGTTTGCAGAGAGCTGGGAGAAGAACATCATTCCCAATTAAATCGTGTGGTCCTTGGCCAAGAATCATCACTCTTGAGAGAAATCTCTTGTGAAGGAGCAAGCCCTGTGCTGCCAGCCGCGCCGCATCCACTCCACCCAGTGAGAAGAGGAAGGCGCAGAGAAGCTCACTTCAGCTGTTTAACACTCTTCCTTGGGGCCTGGGCTTTCCCTTAACAGAGGCCAGTGGGGATGGGGGCCCTGTGGGGGAGGAGAAAAGGGGAAGGAGGTGTCTGGGGATGCAGGGGCGGGGCTGAAAGCAGGAAATGAGCTGGGAACCACCATCACCCCCCTCCACTGCAGGCGCCACAGTTCAGAGCAGAGGAGGGTACAAAGAGGAAATGACAGATTGGGGTGGGGTAGGATGGGGGCAGAAAGAATTGTGCCCTTCACTGGGAGGGAGGAGCTTGAAGTGCCAAAAACAAGCTGAGCTGGGCAGCCAGGATACCTGGGTTCAGTTCCAAATCAAATCAAGAAGTGGTTTTCAGTGGACACTCCATGCCAGGCCCGGCTGCGAGCCCAGTGTTGTCCCTGGTCCTGCTGGCTTCAAAGCCCACTCCAAGGTAACCCAGGGAGGGAGCCGGGCGAGCTCCACGAACAGCCCCCGCACGCACCCTCCTTCGCACCCTCCCCTCCAGCCCCAAACAGGCGTCGCGATCGCCATCTCTTTCACTCTTCCCCATTTCGGCAGTTCTCCCCTCGGCCCTCACTTCGAACCTGTTTCTCCTTTGCACAGGGAGAGTGGGAGAGTCACAGAGACTGCGGGAGGAGGCTATCCCCACGCCACATCCTCACCTGCGGCCCGGCAAGGCTGCAGCGGGGCCAGAGCCCACACCCTCGCCCCGTGCTCTCCTCCAGCCGGGAAACCCCCTTCCTCCACAAGCGCCATCCTCAGACTGCCCCGGAGCCCTTCTCCTGTCCTTTCATTCAGACCCAAGGACAACCATTACCCCTTCAAGCCATTCCTTTCTCGACCCTGTTGGGGCTCATCCTCCCTCTCCTGTCCTTGTCACCGGCCCTTCACCTCTGTTTCCTCCGCCTCTCCTGGGTTTCCAATCTCTCCATCCTCCCCACTGCTCACATTCTCATCCCCTCAGCCACCATATCCAGAAAGTTACACAAGGGAGCCACCCTGCCTTCTTCACTGAGCCACGTTTCCTGTCTTGCCTGCTCATAAGTCTCTTGACTGGTGACCCCAGGCCACTGCCCCTGCCCCAGGAGAACCGGAAGCTGCCTCTGCCCCTCAGAAGGGATCATGCTGGAGACACCCTGTGCCTCCCCACCCACCGCACAGCAGCTCTGAGTTGGGTCCTTACCCTCCTGGCCTGAGTGCTGCAGGTGCTCCTGCAGGTCACACCCAAACACCCGCTCCTTCGAGCTGCCCTTCTTCTTTCCTTTCTGCCGAGACTTCATGGCCGGAGCCCCAGGACTCTGGCCCAGCCACCTCTGTACCCCAAGACCTTTGCCCTACCAGTCCCCCATGGGATCCCAGCTGGCCACTGGGCTTGGCCCAGCCCCAGAGGGGCAGGGCTCCAAACTGGGGGTGGAGGGTGGCCTGGGCAACGGGCAGCGGCTCCTGCCACTGGGGCCCCGGCCACACGGAAGTGGCTGGGGAAGAGGAAGCTGCCAGGACCCCGGCAAGAAGCTGTGTCTCGTGGCCCAGACTGGCACTCGCCCTTCTCGCCCTACTCAGCTCTGGGTGGGGGGCCAGGAAGCTGTGCAGCTCCTCAAACCCACTTCCTGATAGAGCATCTTTGCAACCACAGGGCCTGGGGTGGGGGAGGTAGCTGACATTCACATCCTCACCCATTGCTGGGACTTTGCTTATTGGTCAAGGGGAGGTGATGTCAGAGCCCTGGGGTGGGGTGATGGCGCCTAGGGTGTGAGCAGGTGACTGACATGGTCGGAGACCAGAATTCTTGGGTCCCAGGTGGAGACATGAAGCTTCCTGGGAGCAAGGCGACACAGGGCTGTGCAAAGCACACCCGGGAGGGAGGATGTCCCGGCTTCACCTTTGAGGGGCCTGTCACCTCAGTCAAGTCGTATTACTTCACTCAGCCTCATTTTCCACACATGAAAATGAAGGTGATCTTTAAATCCTCTAACAGTCTGTAAAACTCATTTAACTTGAGTTTCAGTTGCCTTTTCTGTAAAAAGGGTATTTCACACAGCTGTTATTGTGAGTCTCCAGTAAAACAGAGAACCTAGGCCGGGCGTGGTGGCTCACGCCTGTAATCCTAGCACTCTGGGAGGCTGAGATAGGTGGATCGTTTGAGCTCAGGAGTTCAAGACCAGCCTGGGCAAGAGCGAGACCCCGTCTCTACAAAAAAAAAAAAAAAAATAGAAATTATCTGGTCAACTAAAAATATATAGAAAAAAAAATTAGCCGGGATGGTGGTGCATGCCTATAGTTCCAGCTACTCGGGAGGCTGTGGCAGGTGGATCACTTGAGCCCAAGAGTTTGAGGTTGCTGTGAGCTAGGCTAACACCACGGCACTCACTCTAGCCAGGGCAACAGAGTGAGAATCTGTCTCAAAAAAAAAAAGAATCTAAAATACTTTGCAAACTAAAGCATTGGCTATCCTAGAATGGGTTCTTAGCTCCACTGTCCTACCTGGGGACTCTCGGAGATGGCTGAAGGTCTTGTGGAGGCCAATTCTTTCACCTTTCCCTCCCAGCGACAGGCATCCTAACTCCTCCCCAACTCGGGACTGCAAGGAGGATGGTACCGAGACAGCGATTATGGAATTCAGGGCTCCCACAGTTCACGGGGCAAGACAGGAACCAGACAGAACAAGTTTGCCTGTTTATTTAAAAACAGAATATCATTTTATGTACAGATATGCACATATTTACACAGAATGTACATATTAGGATCTGAGATCTTCAGACTCCACTTTCAAAGTCCTGGGCTGGCTGAGGAACAGGGGTCGGGAGCCTCTCCTTTAATCCAGAAATCCAGCAGATTTCAGAGCAAGAAGCGTTTGGGTACTAAATCTAGGTATTCTGGCTGAGTGTGTTGGGTGGGTTAGGTAAAAATAAACCTCACCTAACCCCAGCCCCCACCCAGAGAAACTGCTGGAAGAGCCTTGGGTTAGTGACCCAGAAACCCCTGGGGGAAAAGTCAACATTCTCACCCTCAGCACCTCCTTCACCTCACCTGAACGCCCACCCTCCCTCGGTCTATAATCACTACTCTCTCTCCCCTACACCACCACGGAACCAGGAGCCCTTACCACCAAGTCTCAGCAACTCCCCAAGGGACCACAAACAACTGTGGATACAACTGGAAAAAGAGACGAGGCTGGGGGAGAGCTGAGGGGCCACCAGGGTCGAGGACCCTCCCTTGTCCTCCCTTAGCCAGTGACCAGACTCCACCAGCTCTCCGGCTCCCTCCCAAAGGGCTGACTAGATGAAGACACCTTAGAAGGAGCACCTTTCGGAACCACAGGAATTAACCCCCTGGGGTGGGGTCTGAGTGAGGTCTAGCCTCACTTTCAGCAATCTCAGGGACAAGCACTGGATAAATCAAAAGCTATTTTAAAAGTTCTTCCTCTCATTAAAGGATTCAGAGCAGTATCTCTGAAAGACATTCCCCTGTGCAGGTTTCTTTACAGAAAATATGTACATGCGGCCGGCCCAGGGGCCACCAGAGGGCAGAGGGCTTCTTCTGTAACAGTTCAAGCCTCTGGCAGACCCCTGGGCGGGCTGCTTCACACTTGTCCTGACGGCTCCCAGTGGCAGGGGACGTGCTGCCCCCCTCCAGAGGCCAGATTCCAGCTCCAGCTATGCCCGCATATCTGGATCTGACCCGCAGTCCCCACCTCTCACCTCCAACCTCTGCATCATTAATACTGCTCTGGGGTCTGAGGAAAATGCCTGCCTTTACAGGCAGAGGTCACACCCAGCCACGCAACACACAAACCAAGCCCATGGCACACACGCCGTGTTTCACTTGGACTCTGACATGACAGCATCACGCACACCACAGACACAGCCGTCCCTCCACGCACACGCAGTCGATGACTCACGCAAGCACAAATGCACACACACAGTGACCTCACACATGGCGGGAGGGACTCAATCGGTGGAGCCCTCCCGATGAACAGAAGGGTTGGAGGAAAAGGTCGAGCAGTCAGTGGGGTGGGGAGCATCTTCCTCAAGAAATGGGGTCTTTTAAGGAGGGCCCCAAGATGAGCTGAAATCCCCAGTGTCAGCAGAAGGAGCCAGGCCTAGGGGAGGGAGGCAGGCCTGGGTCAGACCAGGTGCCCCCGCCCATTGATGTAGATGCCGTTGCCCGTGGGCTTGGCCCGCAGGGTCCCATTCTCCTGGACAAAATGGTTCATGGCCTGCTTGATGCCTTCATCCCGATCTTCCTCCTCCTCTGCCCGCCCAGAGCCTGGCGACAGCAGTTCAGTCTGTGTTTCGATCTCCCTCACTGTGGTCAGCGTGGAGTAACTGCGGCCCTCTGGCTCTTCACTCTGCAGGCGAGGGCAGAGGGCACGTCAGGAAGCAGGCCGGGGCAGCCAGACATAGTGGGGTATGGTCGGGTCACGGTGGGCTGAGAGGTCAGGCACAAGCAGGGGAAATGGTTTTCTCCGAGGCACAGGGGCTCAGAGATCAGGGGCCAGGACCAAGTGTCAGACATGGGAAGGGCAGGCGGGAGAACAAAGGCATAGCTGAGATGCGGTCTTAGGCCAGGTGAGCCAGGGCTGAGGCCAGAGGGACTGGTAAGGGGGCTGCTGACATATCACGTCTGGGACCAAGGGAGGGGCCTGAGGAGAGCGGTGGGGACACCGGTGGGGCCGGGGGCCTCACCATCACAGAGCAGCTACTGTTGTCCTTGAGACTATCGGGGTGGCCCTCGGCTCTCAGCCCTACACTCTCCTCCGGCTGCAGGGCCCAGACATGGGGGAGGAGTTAGAACAGAGCTCAGCCTCCTCAGTCTTCCCCTCTTGTCCTCCACCAGCCTCCTCCCTAATCGCCGTTCCCGCACAGGTCCATTTTCTCCTGGACACAAACATCCGCATTCCCCTGCCGCCACCCCACGCCCACCTGGAACCAGTGCTGGAGGTGGCTTCCCAGAGCAGCCCCTAGGCCAGAGCTGAGACGGGCCTTCTGGAGCAGCCCTAGCAGACCCAAAGCAGCTATGGCCCCTTAACTCTGCCCCCAGCCCAGCTCTGAGTCAGGGTCAGACCCGGCGGAGGGCTGTGCTCCCGCTCTGCAGAGGGCCCAGGCACAAGCAGACCCCAGTGTAGCCACACCCCATGCACGCACCCAGCCTCGGCACACACCTGGCTCCTGGGGTCCGCGTGGTGGGAATGCAGCCTCCGGATAGAGTTCTCCCTGGTCAGGGTCAGCTCCTCCTCACTGAGAAAGACACCCCCTTGTCAGGAGCTGAGGGCAGTGGCAGCCTCCCGGGCCGAGCCTAGCCTGGCCGAGCCTATGTGAGACAGGGCTGGAGGGTGTGGGTGCCGTGCCAGCCCTGCAAGCATGAGTGTGTGGCTGCAGGTGGCAGTGTGGCTGAAGAGCGCATGTGTGCCGTGCACATGTGCACATACTTGGTGATACCTTGGCATGTGGATCTGAGCCTCACTCAGGCAGCAGGACCCCCCTCATCCAGCTGTGCTCCAGACCCCAAGTGCCTCCTCACTTCCCAAGAGACCCACCCACCTCTAGTGCGTAAGCCCCCCAGCTGTCAGGCCACCCAGTCTCCTCTCTTCCGACCTGGCCCACCTCCTGTTTGCTTTCTCTTTCTTTGTTCCCAGCTTAGTTCTACCCACCCAGGAGCGGCCAGTACTCACTATTTCTGGGTCATTTGCTGGGCTTTGCGCCGATGATACCGGGACATGAGCACCACCACCACCACCAGAAGGCAGAACAAGAGTGCGGCGATCACACCCACCACCACCACTGAGGCCGACACCAGGTCCACCTGCTTTCCTGTGTCCTCCTGAGGGTCTGCTGGAGACAGGCCACTGACTGAGGGGGATGCCCCGATCCGTGACCCACCCCAGAACACACAGCGCCCCCACCACTGCTCACAAAACACTTCCCAAACCAGCGCCTCAGCTTGACCCTCTGCAAAATACACACAGCCCAGCCTCCTCCAAACACCTACTTTCCCAGTTCGCTCTCTTTGTCTTGCTTCCTGGTGCCCCCCGCAGGCCCTCAGCCCAGGTCCCTTGTCTCTGTCCCCTGTGCTTACCAAGAACATCCACGGTGACCTGAGAATCCCTCGAGGAGAGCTCATTGCTGACGTGGCAAACGTAGATGCCACTGTGCTCAGTGGTCAGCCGGGGAAAGCCCAGCGTGTCCCCTTCCACTCGTACCCCACTGGGCAGAGGCCCGTCCAGCCTGGAGGACAGGGGAGCTTAAGGGTGCTGGCTGGGGAGGGCTGAGGCTGCCACCACCCAACGTGCCCGGGCAGCTCTCCACCCCTCTCCCCCATGACGTCACCCAGAGCTGCCGGCTGTTCCCACGGTGCCCCTCCCTCCCCTAGGCAGGTCCAGGCAGAGGTCCCTTCTCCCTGCTGCCCAGCCTGACCCGGGCGCCCCCCACACACACTCGGGAAGATCCACATGTGTGCCGTCCCACATGCTCCCACAGGCATCACGTCATCCAGCACTGGGTACCAGGGACACATGTTATAAAGTCCACACAGGACACGCCACTCCTGGCTGGGCTCAGAGGTAACAGGAAAATGTGACTGCACGCTCCAACACCCGTGATGTTGCATGGCAGGGTATATGAACACAGCTCCAGGCGCAAGGCCACATGCACCGCTCATATGCTCACATGTGAGAACATGCTTGTCATGGGCTCACATACGTGTGTGCCTGACCCCTCCCCAATTCTCTGGACATCTCAAGCCCTGGGGAAAAAGCCAAGGACTCCTTGAAGGAACTGGTGGAGGTAGGTGGGTATCTTCAAGGTGCTGGCAACATTGTGGTGTTTACAGTAGTGTTGGTTTAATGACAGTTACAAAAGGATTCAGCTGTGTCTTTTTGTCTTAGGCACTTTATGCACTCACATGAATATATAAAATATTAATATTGAAATGCTGTGTTATATTCCACAATGTAAAAGCTAGAAAAAAGCTGGGTGTGGCGGCTCATGCCTATAATCCTAGCACTCTGGGAGGCCGAGGCGGGAGGATCACTTGAGGTCAGGAGTTCAAGACCAGCCTGAGCAAGAGTGAGACCCCGTCTCTACCAAAAATAGAATTAGCTGGACGTGGTAGTGCATGCCTGCAGTCCCAGCTACTTTGGAGGCTGAGGCAGGAGGATCATTGAACCCAGGAGTTTGAGGTTTCAGTGAACTATGATGACACCACTGCACTCTACCCAGGGAGATAGAGTGAGACTCTCTCCCCTGCAAAAAAAAAAAAGTTAGAAAAAAAATCTAAGGGCTTATCAATTGACTCCCTACTAATGACCACGTGTCCTAGACTCCATGGGCAAGCCAATAATAATGTTTGGTGACTGTGCATATTCTTGTATTGGTCTGAACATGTAGCCCGATTTATTTGGGGTTCAGAATACATTGTTCCAGCCCATGATTAGTACATCCCGGCCTTGAGAAGGAAGGAACCGAGTCCCACACTAGGCCCTCCCTTAGGCCCAGGCCCTCACCGTGTCCAGTTGTACGAGGGAGGGGGCTGCCCTTCGCTCAGGCACTTGAGCATGGCTCCTTCTCTGCCAACTTGCCACAGCTTTTGGTCTTCAAGGCCCCTCACAGAGGCCTCGGCAAGGACTGGAAGGGGAGGTGGGAGGACAAAGAATGGGAATGATGCCTTTGATTGTGTGGTACCTCGAAGGGACACCACCCCTGCCCCACCCTGCCTGGAATAGCCTCCCCCTGCCTTCCTCCATCCTACTCATCTGCTGCCAAACCTAGCTCAGCCCCACCTCGCTCCTGGCCACACAGTTCCCTCCCCTCCCTAAGCTCAGAGCCTGTGTTGGGTTACCTGTGCGTGACCCCTTAAGCCCCTCAGGGTAGTGATGTGCCACACTTTTTCTGGGTATCCTGTGGTGCCTAGCACCGTGCTAGCCACAGAACAGGTGCTCCATAAATGCTGCCTGATTCCTCCAAGGCTTAATAATCCTACTAGTTCCTTCACTTCTTTAACAAACATTTGTCGACAACCTCCTTTGGAAGGCAGCTACACTCACCGCTATACCACCAACACACTTGACAACCCACTTTGTACAAAATGCTGACAATAGTCTTATCCTCCCCCCAGGCTTGAAATCTGATTCTGGGAAAACAATATCTACCATTTACTGAGAGCCTTCCATGCACTACACATTAAGCACTGTGCGAGTTGCTTTGCATTCATGGTTTCTAATTCTCATCAAAACCCTGTAAATTTAGTATAATTAGACTTATTTTGCTGATGAAGAAAGTGAAGCCCAACAAGATTAAATAACAGCTGGTAAATAGAAGAACTAGGGCTTCTCCTAAGTCTATCTGTCTCCAAACCTCAAACTATAATTTTACAAAGCGCTTTCAACTCCATGTTTATAATTGATTCTCCCAACAATCCTAGGAAGCAGGGTGATCTCTTTTGTAAAGACAAGGGCACCGAAGCTCAGAGAGGGCTAAGTGATTTGCCAAGGTCATCTGTGATCGGGCTTCGGGTCTTCTACCTTTGGACTAGTGCTCTCTCACACACCGTAGCCTCCGGGACCCAGGCTGGCCAGCCTGGCGTGGCTCAGGGCCTCACGATGTCTCGCAATCCTCTTAGAACCCAGGGTGCCTCCCTACTCAGTCATCCAAGTACTTACAGGCCACATGGAGGATGTGGGTGATCCTTTGGTCCTGGAGCAGACCAGGGTGGGACACCACGCAAGTAAGTGGCTGCCCATTCATGCTGCGGCTAGGCACCAGGTGGAACTCCGAAGTCACAGCAGCAGAGCGGGAGTACTTGAAGGAGCGGCTGGAGGTTGTGCCTTTGACCTCTGTGTCCCAGGTCACACTGGGGGCTGGGCTGCCCTCGGCTGTGCAGGAGGCTGCCAGCGTCAGGCCCTGGCCCTCTTCTAGCGCTGGACCAGGATTCAGTGAGGGCAGGGGAGGCACTGCGGATGGGGGAAGGCAGGGGTCACAGGTCTGCACAACCCCTCTCAGGAGGCCCCGCCCCATCCCGGTCCAATCTTGCACAAGTGCAAACTTCCCTTCTCTTATTTCATCAAGATGCCAGAGGAGTAGTAGAATTTCAGGTGACTTTGTATCTTTCTTCATTGTTTGAATTTTTTACAGTGAACATGGGTCATTTGTTGAAATAAAAATAATGGAGTAATTTAAAAACTAACCAGATATCATCTATATAATAATTATAATAATAATAGCCACCATTTAGTAAGCACTTACTATGTGCCAACTATTATGCTAAACACTTTTAAACGTTATCTCATTTAATTCTGTCAACAAGCCAGTGAGGTAGGTATTATCCTTATTTTATAGGCAAGGAAACTGAAGCTCAGGGAGGTTAAATGACTTGTTCCAGCTATTAGGTGACAAAGCCTAGATTCACACCAAGGTTTTTCTACTCCAAGGCTGATGTGACTAACTTCCATGTGAATAAAGGGAAACTACTTCCTATAAAGGCTTTTATTTTCATCTTTAAAATATTAGCAGCCCAAGCACAGAATGGAAAAGACTTGACCGTAGGTCCAGGGTGGACCCCAAGTGCCCACACTGCAAAGTGGTGGTTTAAAAGGTGATTGTGCGCCTGTAATCCTAGCACTCTGGGAGGCCGAGGCGGGCGGATTGTTTGAGCTCAGGAGTTCGAGACCAGCCTGAGCAAGAGCGAGACCCCATCTCTACTAAAAAGAAAAAATAGAAAGAAATTATCTGGACAACTAAAAATATGTAGAAAAAATCAGCCAGGCATCCATGGCGCATGCCTGTAGTCCCAGCTACTCGGGAGGCTGAGGCAGGAGGATTGCTTGAGCCCAGGAGTGTGAGGTTGCTGTGAGCTAGGCTGACGCCACGGCACTCACTCTAGCCCGGGCAACAGAGTGAGACTCTGTCTCAAGAAAAAAAAAAGTGATTGTGATCTCAGACCACATTCACCGAAGACCCAGATCAAGGACAGTATTAGCCCCACTGGTCAGGCACGGCTACAAAGCTGGGTCTGTGGGTTCTCACCCGGGCCCACGTTTTAAAAATCATGGAGCCCAGGAAGTTGAGGGAAGCTTTGATCGGTGTCTTCGTGGCACTGTGGCAGGAACCAGTAAGTTTAGCTTGGAGAAGAGCAGATTTAGGCGGGGCGTGACAAAGGATCTCAGCTCTCTGAGAAGCAGTTGCGCAGAAAAGAGAATAAGCCCTTGCCATATTGCTCCACAGGGCAAAAGTAACAGAGGGGGAGATTTCGAGTCATCAGAAGGAAGAACTTCCAAATAAATGATTCTTTCCCAGCTTTGGGGGTTACTTGGAGAGAATTTCTGGATTGAGTGCAAGGATGCACGGGCTAGATGAAGTCCCTCACCCCTACAGGATCCCACCTTTTATTCCTGTTCTGCGTCTTCCCTATCCATCTCTGCTTCCCCCTGCCTCCAGCTTCTCCCCTCTGAGACGCCTGGCCTGGGGGCCTGGGGCCTGTGCACACACACCGCAGGCTCTGACCATGCCCAGCCAAGCCCCACTTACCCAGCACTCGGAGCCGCAGCCGCGCCTGGAAGCTGCCGGCGGGGAAGGTGCTGACATGGCACTCGTACTCTCCCTCATCCGCCTGCACAGCGTTGCGCAGGAGCACGGAGCCGTCCAGGGGGTTCCGTGGGGGTGGCGGCTGTTCCACGCGGCCCTCGTAGGCAGAGCTCACATGTAGCCCGTATTTGGAGTGCAGCAGCGCCAGCTCCTGGGCGCCCTCGCCCGCGTCCACACGAGCCCATGCCACCTGCCCCACCTGCTCGTCGGGGTCCCCTCGGTAGAAGCAGGGCAGCTTTGCGTCCTGGCCCAGCACCACGGTCACCACCTCCGTGGTCTCCAGCTCACCCGCGGGGCACCGACCTGCAGGGGGCAGACAGGAGCAGCCAAGATTAGGGGCGCTAGAGCCAGAGGAACACAGTCATAAGGATAATGACAGCAAAGGCAGCCGGAACTCCTGCAGCCTTTTGTGCTTGCAAAGCGCGTTCAGTCCATTACCTCATTAGAGCCACAAAACATTCCCAAGAGGTAGGCGTTATTATCACCATTTAACAGATGAGGAAACTGAGACCCAGAGAGAGGAAGTGGTTTGCCTAAGGCCATACAGACGATTTATGGAAGACTCACACCCGCTTGCAGACTAAGATTGTATCCTGAGCAATTGCAAGGTGGGAGGCTATAACAGGACCAGAGACACAGCCCCCTGCCCTCAGGGAGTTCACAGTCATCAGGGAAATGGAATTTTTATGCACACAGAAACAGGGAAAGCCATGAATGGACAAACTTTCACAAGAGGCTCAATCTACCAACGGGGCAAAAGTGAATGCTTTCAGGAAGTGTGGCAGGAGCCACGGCAAGGGTCCAGAACACATTGGTGTCTGGAATGGGACATGTAGGGTGGGAAGGGTCCATCCCGGTAGGTCCTTTGGAACATTCTTTTCATGGCTTGAAGCTGAGAGACCTGGATTCCCAGAGAACAGGAGGTATTCCATGTGGGAGGAATGGCATGAACCGAGGCTGGAAGGCAGGAATGAGCGAGTCACTGAAGACAGAAAGGGCCCAGGTCACAGGCTCAGAGAGATGAGGTCAGGGCAGACACACAGTGACAGGGTTAGAATACTGAGCCAGAATCAAAGGACCAGAGACAAAGGACTAGTGTTTTCAGGATTGATGAGGAGCACTCAGGGATTCTGGAATTAGAGATATCCATCACATAACTTTATTTGCAGATAAGAATCCGTTCCCTGCCCTCATGGAACCTGAGGTTTGTTCAGGAGCAAGATATATATGTATATGGAGGCACACAGGGAAACACGTGATGATGGTTTCTGATTTAGTGCTCAGCGGTGTGTTGCAGGCCAGTTGTGGGATGGGGTGGTCTCTGTGGGACCAAGTCACGTGGGAGGGCCTCATACATCAGTTGGGTAGGAATTAGGAGAGAGAAGGACCTAGAAAGGCATTCCAGGTAAGGGACCAAGGTGAGCAAGCACTGAGGAGGTGGAAAGGCTGGCTGCTTCAGGAAGCAGAGAGGAGAGGACTGACCTAAGGCAGGGCGTGTGCGTTGAGCCGGACTGGAAAGTATGGTTGGGGGAGGGTGGGGCCAGATCACCCAGGACCTTCCACGCCAGGCAAAGGAACCTGGTCAGACTTGGTGAAGAGGAAACGGGGAGTCACGGAAGCTTTCTTAGCCAGGGAGTGTCATGAGGCAGGTGGTGATGTGCAGTCTGACCGGAAAGCAGGGAGACTGAAGACCGATATGCACTAGGAGGCTGCGGCTGCAGCCCTGGCACAGTGGTGCCACCGTGGAGAGGAGAAGACAGTTCCTGGGGGAAATTTGACAGGGATTTGGTCACTGACCAGAAGGAGAGAGGAGGGAGAGAAAAGACTCAAACACAGCTCCTAAATGTCCAGGATGAGTAACTTATGAGGGAGGCAGGGCCTGAGGAAGCTCATGATTGGGTAGACATCAATTTAGAGTCATGGAATAAAAAAGTGAAACACGGGGATTGGGGCCTGGGGCAGAGAGGAAGGGCACTCTGGGATGGCAAGAGCTCCTTGCCTTGGAAACTGTACCCCAGCAACTGCCAACAGTGCGCAGTCCCTGCCTCTGCCCAGCACTTCACACGCCCTGGTGTTCTTCACCTTTGCTCACACTGTACCCTCTGCCTGGAATGCCCTCCTCCCTGCGTCTGGAGCTCCTACTCATCACTGTCTGGGTAACTCCTACTCACCCTGTAAGACTCTGCTTAGGCATCGCTTCCTCCCGGAGCCCTCCCACCCCCACCTCAGGCAGCATTAGGTGCCCTTCCTCTGTACTTGCCAGCACCCAGCCTTCACCCCTACCATAGCACTTTACCCCACAGTTTGTATTTGCTATTTCCTTGTCTGCCTCCCTTACCAGATTGAGCTCAAGAATAGAAACTGAGTCTCAGTAACTGTGGTTTCTGATTTAGTGCTCAGTGGTATGTGGTCTCCATTCCTGGCACATAATTGGTGCTCAATTCACATTTATTGACTGACCGAATGAATGAATGAGAGAATCAGGCAGAGGAAGGAAAGAGTAGAACGAGGAGGAGCGAGCAGTCCTTGGTTGGGCTGGGCAGGGAGGGCGTTGACATGGCAATCTTGGGGTGGAAACAGGATCGGCTGGCTGGTTGGATTCACTGCCAAAGGGGGCACCTCCAGACTGGACAGAGGAAGAAAGGCAGGATGGAGGGGAGGGAGGTGTGGAGGGAGGAAGTGAAGCCTCACTGGAGTGGACCAGAGGGTTCCAGTGAAGGAGAGCATGGGGCAGAGGAAGGGGGTCCTGTGGCCCTGCTGGCAAGGGTAGAGGGAGGGGGATGCTATTGGGAGCTGGGAGGGCATGGATGGGACAGGACAGACCTGCAGGGCCAGATACCAGGGCCCTGACCTGCCTAAGCTGATGTTGGTCCCACCCAGCCCAGCCTAGGAGTCCAGCTAAACACCCGCACCCCTCCCAGGCACCTCCTCCTGGCACTGGAGAGAGTAGAGCTGCCAAGGAAGGGCCAGGAATGGGCTTGGGGTAGGGGAGCCCCAGCACATCCTCTGCTTCAAACATTAGCATCTGGGCAGGTCATAGGGACCCCAAGCCCTGCCCTACTGGGGCACTCAAACCCTTCTAGAGACTATTTCTTTTCTTTTCTTTTCTTTTCTTTTTTGAGACAGAGTCTCACTCTGTTGCCCCAGGTGGAGTGCAGTGGCATCATCATAGCTCAATGCAACCTCCAACTCCTGGGTTCAAGCGATCCTCCTGCCTTGGCCTCCCAAGTAGCTGGGACTACAGGCACATGCCACCATGCCTGGCTAATTTTTCTACTTTTTGTAGAGATCGGGTGCCACTCTTGCTCAGGCTGGTCTTGAACTTCTGAGCTCAAGCAATCCTTCCGCCTCAGCCTCCCAGAATGCTAGGATTACAGGTGTGAGCCACTGTGCCCGGCCTCTAAAGACTATTTCTGGGATAACGTCAGATGGCATAGTTCCCATCCCTATTCTTATGCTTGCCAACTACCTGCCCCCTCCCCACCACTAGTCACCCATATTTCCCTCAAAAAAATACCTCTTTAGGGCACAGCGGGCTTTGGGTACCCAGTGCGTGCCTGAATCCCAATCCTCCATGTTCCTTCGTACCTGTGAGTCCAAGATCCCCACTCCCAAGGGACAAGCCTAAGCTTTGCAGAATGAGGAACCCAGTAAAACAGGAATATTCCTTCTGGATGTCCCCCATGGCCCCCCATTATGCTAAATCCACTATTTAGTAGGAGCATCTCAGCCTGGGGCAACACCCTCCTCTAGTTGTGTACCTCTCCACAGCCCTCTAGGCTGCAAGAGAAGAGAAAATAGAACTTGGGCCCTAGAATCCCTGTCCTTGGCTAAACAGACCTGGGAGCCCAGGCTGCCAGGCCAGGGCAGGCCAGGACTGCCTCCTCCTTCTCTCCCCGACCCAGTGCCAGCCTGGCGTCAGCATAATGATGTCACCAGACTGAAGGAGACACACTGCCTCGCTGGTGAGGTCACCCTGGGGGCATGTGGTAGCCAGGCCAGGCCAGGCCAAGCCCACAGACCCTTCTGCTGCAAATTGTTTGCTGAAGCTGGTGGACTCTGGCTAGTTGGGCACTCCTCCCTTGGACCCTCCCACCCCTCCTCCAGGGAGCACCAGGACGCTGGTCAGGAGCCTTGGTGACTCAGAAGCTGCTACACAGCAGCAAGCCTAGCCACAGCCGCCACCACCTTGCGCAAGGGAGAGAACAGGCCCAACTGGCCAGACGGGATCCCTGCCCTTGGCCTCCCCCACCCCTGGCCAGGCCCCCACGGGCCTCTTTGGAGCCCAGCCCTTTGTGTACCCCGCCCGGCTCCCAGACAGGCCCTCCATTCCTGGTTTGGGCTGGCTGGCTGCTCCCCACCCTGTGCCTGGGTCCCAGCTTTCCTTTCTGTGTGAGGGCTGGGGGGACACTGAGGTGCCACCTGCAGATACCCAGCCATTTACAGCATCTTTGAGGAAGCATCTTTTATTTATGAGGGGCCTTTCTCTACCAGTATTCCCTGCTGGTACTTATGGGGGTCCATGTGGGGGTCCTAGAGGTGGGTCCGTGAGAAGGAGGAAGGGAATAAGCATGAGGCATTTGTGTTTAAATGTATGAGGATCTTTGGGTGAGGGCCTGGCCCATCTTAGTGCTGGTTCACATGTGTGCGAGGCTATCTCCTTGCATAAATCTGGGGGTGTTTGGCACATATGTGAGTTCATGTCTTATCTTTGGGGGAGTATATGTACTAATTGTCCATGTCCAGAGGGAAGAGCTATGTGTTGGTGTGCGTGAACATGTGTGCACACACCATTCCATGTGCGACTCACACACTGTATGCATGGCGTGCGTTCTTGTCTCGCGGAACTCTGCACACATAGTAAATATTTTGATGTCAGTTTATCTTGGCTTCCGCATCTCTATTTGTCTCGGCTGCCCTTGGTCAGTGGTGTGTGGCTCCGAGCCTTCGCCTCTGGATCCTGTCTGGAATGTCGCCCCCGGCATCTCTCCCCACCTCACCCCAAGACTTGAGGGCAGATTCATCTCAGGCTCAAGGTGGAGGTACCAAGAGATGAGGTCACTGTCCCTCCAGGTGATGGGAAATTGCCATCAAGGGCTCCCCAACAGAACAAAACAAAAGCTCCCTCTGCCCTTGCTCCTCAGGTTCCCACTAAAGGGACTCTCCTTCCCTTCTCACCACCACCACCCCTGCTCCCCTCGGCCCCCCAGCACCTCTGGCCCCCCAAGGAGGCCTCTCCCTGGGAATCTCTGTCAGGGCTCTGCTGCTGTCACCACCAGAAAAACCAGCTCTGGCTCAGGCCTGGGGTAAGGTTGTCTGGTGTGGGTTTGGTGGGAAAGGAGGGGGATCCCGCCTGGGGCTAGGGGGAGGGGTCCAGGTTGTCTAGGGTCTCATTCTCCTTTGTTAACTCTTGCCTCCCCTTGTGACAGCCTGCACCAGACAGGGCTGGAGTCTGTGGGCGAGTCTGGGAGAAGAAAGGACCTGGGAGGGGAGCAGCAAAGTTTCCCATCCAGGACAGGGGACATGAGTTCCCCTCACATGGGTTCAGTGAGCCCCTTTTCATCCACCCTTTCCCCCATAACCTTTGCCTAGGAGCACTAAGGACTTTTAAAAACCAGAAAGAAGATTCTCCCTCCACCTTCATCCACCTCCCTCGCTTACCCCCCATCATCCTAAGCCCCCCAGCTTAGTGAGAGCTTCCCCAACCCGGGCAAAGTGCCCATCTGCAGATTAGTGTCTGGGGAGGGGGGCCACCCCAATCACAAAGGGAGATGAGAACAATGGGGGAGGACAGGCCTTGAGGCAGCCCAGGCTCTGGCCCAGACACAGCTCCCAGCACAGATAAGTCCCCTAAACCCCCCGGAGCCAGAGTCTGAGCCCGGCTGAGTCACCACAACAGCCACACTGTGGGTGGGAGACCCAGAATTTGCCTTCTCCCAAACTCCTGAGATCCTACCTCCCCCATACTGCCCCTCCACCCACCATGGCCAGCTCTGCCCCGCCCCAAATCACAGTCTCAACCTCAGCTCTCAAGACACAACAGCTTTAGAGGGAAGGGGGTGGGGGATGACCAGAAAACTATGGGAAAAGCTCCTGAGACCAGAGGTTCCTGGTTCCAGCAAAAGAGGGATCCCAGCTGCCTTCTTCCCAGCCATCCCCTAGGAGGCGTGGTGGACAACTCCCGGTACTGAACCTCACCTCCTCATTTTAGATCCTGCTCCCAGATCCAGACCCCGGGTTCCTCCACTCCCTTCCCTCCTGACCCCAGATCACCTCCACCACTTCTCTCTGCCTAGACTTTGGTCAGTGCCAGGGCGAGTTTTGGAGGCCAGAGACGCAGATGTTCTCTCCTCACTGGACCCCTCCCCTCGGTGCTGAGCCACTTTCGCTGTGCCTGGAGGACCCCAGGGTCCTTAGGCTGTGGCTGGCACAACGGGATTGTGGACTCTTAGCTCCTCACCTCCATCTCTGTGGCTGGGGTCTCCTTAGCCCAGCCCCCTTAAACACTAGGGTGGGACCCAGGTCACTGGGGCCACAGGGCTTCCCTGGGATTCTCCTAGTCTCTCGCCACCTTGGGCGGGGAAGCTGGCCTCCTTTGCTGGCTTCCCTGGGCTTGGGTTGGTCCTACAGGAAAGGGCCTGCCCCCCTCTGTAAATAGGAGTAGAAAAGCAGGGATGGGCCCCTCCCTTTCTAGGAAACTAACCTCAGACAGAAGCTGATCCTAGCCCTCAGAAGACAGACCTGGAGTTCAGAGAACCACTCACCCTCTGGTCTTGCAGGGCCTGCTGGGCCCAGACAAAGAGCTAGGGACTGGGATCCTGGGGTGTGTGTGTGTGGGGCGTGGATCTTGTAGATTTGGGCCCCCAAGCCTCAGGGCAGGAGATGGGGGAGGGAGAAGGGAGAAGACCTCACCCGGAAACTCATCCCATTAAGGAGAAACAAAGAGCTGTGGTGTCAGGCGCCTCCCAAGCCTGGGCTCCTCTCTCTGTCAGGGGTGGGGCAGGGCCCTGGGGCTCAGAGCTCTAATGGCCCAGGAGTTTGGGGTGGGGGGGTGAATTGGCAGTGGGGCCAGGAAGGCAGTATCCTGGGAAAAGGTACTCTGGTCCCCTCCGAGAGAAGGGGCCAGGACCCTTCCCCTTCTACCTCTGCAGCCAGACTGAGTGACTCTTCCAACACCCCAGCATCTCCCTTCAACTAGAGCCTGGACAATCACAGAGTCGTAGTATTTCAGAGCTGGATGGTCCATAGAGATCATCTAGTCCTAGCTTTGGTCCACTGAAGTCTAGTTTCCTAGTTGCCCAAGGCCATCCAACAAATTAATAGCAGAAACGGGATCTGGACCCAAGGCTCCTGACCTCCCAGTGCAAGGATTTTTCAGAAACATGTAACAGTTCAGTTTTGGGGGGGCCATCAAGGAGATACCTACACATAGAGGAGCAGAATGGGGGTGGCAGTGGAGGTGGCACCATCTAATCCTCAGGCTAGGAACCTGGGGCCTGAGTCTCCGGCCTTCAGAGCAACCTGCAGCTCTGTGGCGGCTTGCGGGCCTCCTCCCTTACCGCAGCACCTCCTAATCAGGCACTGGGTGAGGCCAGGGGTAGTTTCCCAACTAGAAGGGAGTCTCCATTCCCCTTCCTTGGGCTTCTCTTAGAAAGAACAGTTTTGCATCATGGAAAAGGAAGGCAGGAACCATGTCTTACCATTACGTCTCCAGCATCTAGAACTCCGGCTGTACCCAGTGTGCACTCGAATGTACTATTCTGTAATGAACTAGGAGTCAGGAGACCAAGACACTAACCCTGGTTATGCTTCTAACACTGAGTAATCTTGCAGATCTCACTTGTCTATCTGTTTCTCTCAGTTTCCCATCTGTAAAATGAGGGAAGTGGAGTGGTGCTTTCTTTGATCCCTTCCAAGTCCTGAGACCGCATGGCTCCACTCTTTAGTGTGGGTAGATCCTACGGGAAAGTGACTTTGGGGTTCCCTGACCCCAGTGACCAGGCGCCACCCTTGGCCTAAGCAAGCGAGAAGGGTTGTCTGGAAGATGGGAATTAAGACATGGGGCTGGAGTTGGGGGGATGGCCAGGGTAGGAGCTCAGTATCCTGTGACTGGAGGCTGGGCCAATGACCCTTCCATTACAATAGCAGAGTGAGAGCAGCCCCACCCTCACCAATCTACACATCTAGGCCTTGTTCTCCTCCTTAGAGCTTCAGCTGGGCATGGGGTGGGGGAATCACTGTCATGTCCTGCTGGATGACTGAGGCTCCCTTGCTACTGCTCCTGGGGCTGAGACTCAAACTATCCTATCTGAATAGGGCCCCATCTTTCCAAAGAGAAAGATTTCTCAGTTACTCATTACCCTGGGAACAGCCTATGGAATCCCATCGCAGTCTCATTGTGTGTGGGTGCGCGCGCGCGCGCACACACACACACTCTCTCTTTCTTTCTTTCTCTCTCTCTCTCTCTCTCTCTTTCCCACTCTGAAGATTATAAACTCCTATAATTTGTATCTGCTCTGTATACATTAGACAGGTAGGAGGTGAAGAGTCATACAAAGTATCTAGTTGAAAAGATGGGGGGACAGGAGGTGAACAAAAGGGGACCACACCCTATCTAGAAGGTACCCTACCCTAGACCCTACTCATCTGAATCCCCTTGTTACCACCCTGGAACTACGGCTGTGCCCAGGGAAAGAGAGGGCCAGAGGGAGAGGAGTTCCTAGCTCTCCTATAGGCCCCGACAGGTGCCCCAGCCCTGGTACTCCAGAACATCATGGAGAGAAGAGCAGGGGATAGAAATGCCCTGTCCACTCTCTGGGTATCAGGCTTCCTGTACTCTGATGACTACCGAGACCAGCGCAGCCCTGAGTTGGCCCTAGTTCCAGGCAGCAGTCCTGGAGCCCGGCGGGTAGGCCAAGGAGCCTCGGGGAACCCCTGGGGTGAACAGGGTCCTCATAAGTTCCACCTCCCTGCCCACCTGCACTGAGTCACCATACCTATTCCCTCTGAGACAGCTCAGGCCTAGGCAAGGCTTTGGAAGAGGTCGTCAGGATCCCAGACGTAGTGACCTGGCCTGGGGGGTGGGAGGGGACATGAAGGGGAATAGCTACGCTGGCTCTTCCAGGGGCACTGCTGGCAGCTGGGTGTGAGAGAGAGATCAGTTCCTCAGTTCAGAGTCAAAGGAAAGAGAGTATTTGTGTACGTGCATGCGTGTGTGTCTGCGTTTGTGTGTGCGCGTCTGTGCCAGGCTGGGCTCGGAAGCAAGGGTCCTGACGGCGCAGGCAAGTCCTACCTGGAAATGATGCCAGCAGCAGCAGCAGCAGCAACCAGGCCTCAGGCCCCCACATCTCGGCTCCCAGGGACAGGGGCATTGGTTGGAAGGCAGATCTGCCCGGCGTGTCTGAAGTTCCACCGACTTCTCCCTGGGAGCCGGCTCTAGAGCTGGATAAGGCACCGACCTAGAAGGCAGGAAGCCGTGGAGTCCCGAGGCACTGACGCACCTGCCTATCCCAGTTGGGTCTCCACTCGGGGACCCGACCCCGTTCTGCCCACCCAGCCGTAGCTACCCCCAAAAAGCCGTGATCGGGAGCTCGGAGCTCCCCCAGAGCTGCTTCCCACGCCGTGGCCAACAACGACGGCAGAAACCTGGGAACCTGCTCAGCAGGTCAGAACAGGTGCGTCTCCGGGGGCGGGCCTGGCACGGAGACTCAGCAGCCGCCGCCCCCATGGCCTGGGCTAGCTAATGGGCGCCAGGGAGGGAGGGAAGGAGGGAAGGGCCTGGGTGCGGGCAGCGGGGTCCCATCCTCAGCTGCAGGCTTTACCTGCACGTGTGTGGAAGGGGCTGTGAAGGGAGAGGCGAGGGTGGCGGAGGGGAGGCCCAGGGTGTCTCAAAGAGGAAGGCACTGGGCCGGGCCAGGACAACAGGGGCAAGGCCCTGTGCATGGAAAGGAACCCAAGCATCCCACCCCCAGCTAGCCTTGCTGCCTCCTGAGGGCCTTGACCAGTTCCCCAATCTCCTAGAGGGGCTCAGCTTTGGAGCGCAGATTCAGAGAAGGCCAGAGCTGAGCAGGACTCTGTCCCTGCTGGCCTGTATACTTCATTCTTCTGATGAGAAAACTGAGGCCCAGCCAGCGGAAGGGACAGAGGACAAACGGCTTAGTATCACAATTTGCTCAGACATCTCTATCCCTGAGGCAAGGAGCTAGTTCAAAGCCCCATGAGAAAGAGCTTAAGTGACTGCCCTGACCCCATAGGAGAAGTCAGGGGACTGAAGACGGAATGAGCCCTACAGATGCCTGGCTTCCCTGGCAGGGCCCTCTCTCAGCTTCAGCACCTTGTTTCCTGGCCAGGAGTCCTGAAAGGGCACTCGCACAACTTGAGTGGAAAGAGGTTCCTTTTTACCATCTCCATGGTCATTGTATCCATTTTATCCCATGGTCACTGGACAAGACCACATGCCTAGACTTTGCAAGGACAATCTTGATTTCCAACACTCTGTCCCTGTATTCCTATAAGTATACTCATACTTGTCACAGCATGTGTTTCCATTTGGGATGCATAAAATGTGACCGCCAAGTTACACAAAGCCTCACTGGCCAAGCTAGGATGGCCAGAGGAAGGGGGCATATTCTGAGGCCCCTGAACATTTAGGGAAGGAGAGGGGCAGACGGCTCACAGACGAGGGCCAAAACAACAGGTAAACATAGAGATAGGCCTGGGTGGAAGGAAAATGTAATAGGTTAAAATCTTGCAGCAGGACCCTTCTGTCTGGAGGGGGTGGGAAGGAGGAATCGAGAAGCAGTAAGGGAGGGCCATTTCACGTAGAATATTTTTCACACACACCCCTGCCCCCACCAATTCTACCTGTCAAGATCTTACTCATCTTTCAAAGCTGACCTCACCTGCCACATCTCCCAAGAAGCCTTCTCAGCTCCTCCCACCCCAAATTAATCTTACCCCTATTCTTCCTCAGCCTGTGCTAGTCCCTTTATTATAGCTTATGTGCTCATAATTTGTGCACATCTTATCTCCTTAACTAAATTGTAAGCTTCAAGTCAAGAAACAGTGGTTGAGGCCTGTTGTGTGTTGGGGATTCAGTAAATGTGTAAAATTGAGGGACAGCATGACAGCTGTAGTCTGTGAGCCCCCTGAAAGTTGGGCTTGTTCTGTGATCTTGTCTCAGTCATCCATGACAGGACAGGCCACGGCACTTAACGGGAACGGAATACATTTTTGTTGAAGGTATGAATTTCTGAATAAATGAGCGTCAGGATGGGAAAGGTGGTGAGGCAGGGCCAGAAAAGCCCAGTTCCTGACTGACCGTGAGTTACCATCCTGAATCTGGCCTGTGACCTGGACTTTAACCCTGGAGCCCCAACTCGGGCTCTAGATCCCTGCTCTCAACAGTGACCGTGGCAGAGACCTCTTCTTCAAGGACTATTTCCTGCAGGTCACGAGTAGCCTTAAGGGCCAGGCTGGATGCCAAAACTCCCCAGTTTCTCTCCACCTCCACCTTGGCAAACCCCTTCCCCTCTTCAGGACTCAGGTCCCCACCTGTGCCAGGGGAGCAGCCCCACCCAGATGCTGCTTTGAGATCCACTGTGGCAGGGGTGGGGTAGGGCCGGGGGATGGGAGGAGGGAGCATCCTGTGTTATAATTATCACACCTTGGATCCTATCGCATGCTTTCAGAGGCGCTCCTTTCCTTCCCACGGATTCACCCCTCCAGGTACAGGAAACCACAGGGGAAACTGAGGCATGGGGGTGGGAAAGCAGCTGGATCACAGGTGGGTATCCACTCTCCTTCAGCCTTTCCATTCATGACATACCCCTCCCCACAAAGTGCTACCAGTCAGGATGGCTCTGAGCCCCTGGTCGGGACCCGCATTCACTCACCCCCTACTCTAACCATGTGGAACACTGCAAGGAGGCAGAACTTTCTGGAGGTGGTGTCAAGGTATGGCTATACCCATTTTTTCATGGGGCCGTTCAGGCCCTAATAAGCACCAGATGTGGCCATGAAGAGGGCTGAGGGCACCACAGGGCCTGAGAGGGAGCGCTAGAGCCAGGCACCCACTCCAGCCTTTGGCGGAGGCAGGGATCTCTCTTTCCTCGTTTCACAAATATCTATCTCCCAGTCCCTCTGTCTCCTCCTTCCCTCAATCCTGTGTGTCTCACAAGGGCCAGGCTCTTGGGAATATGCCCTCATCCTTAAGTTTTTCTCACTCTCTTCTGGGATGAGACCTGGGGAAGGATTATACCGAGCCAGGGGCTGGAAGAAAATATCGGTTGGGGAAAAATTTCAAGACCAGTGCCTGGTATCCTGGGTTCGGTTCTTTCTTCCACATTGAATCCCATTCTCCTCATGCCTCACTACTTGTCTTCCTCCCACCCACATTCTGGGTCCTAAGAACGGGAAGAATTCAAGCCACGCTAGCATCTTTCTAATGTGTATTTGTGCCTGCGTGAGTGGCATTGCTGCGTGCGTGCCTGCGCACATGCATTCATTCAACAGACACTTAGTGAGTACCACTTTGTGTCAGGCTCAAGGGAGGAGACAGAGACACATAACACACAGTCCCCGTCCTCAAGGAGCCCCCAATCAGGAGACAGACACATACACAATGATAACACCCTATATCCCACCATCATGCGTTCCCTGTGTGTCTCTGTATGTGTACGTGCCATGCGCACACGCGGGGCTGTCTCTGCGTGTGTAACAGTGAATGTTCATGATCTGCATGTGTCCAGGCATCCACTTATACCCATCTCTGCCCTCATGACAGGCTGCACGCCTAAGCCAAACCGGTTGGAGTGGGTTGTGCTGAAATTTTTGTTTGTGTCAATGGGACTTGAGGTGAGTCAGGGAGGGACAAGGATGGGTGGAGTGGTGTGTAGGAGAAAAAGAGTGAGAGTGAGGGTCAGATTGAGGGAGTGGGGGAAGGAGGGAGGGGGCTGATGTGGGAAGGGCTGGGGGTGGAATGGCAGGAGGATGGGTTGGGGGTAGGGACAGATGAGAGAGCTCCTCAGTGAGTAATATCCTGTCTGTCTGCAGTGTGATCCCAGGTCAGAGAAGAGTCAGAGGCTGGGGGGGGCAGACCCTTGGGCTTTAGGAGAGAACAGGGTGAATAATAAATCAGAGTGGAACCAGTTGGAAGCTTGGGTGTGGACAAAATGTTTTCGATCATTTCTGTACGGCTTTGTCTCTCAGTGTGATAAGCTACCCCTAATCTGCTCATTGCCTTAGCTTCTGCACACTTTGTACACGAAGGTGTTGGGGAGTTGATTGATGTGGTGGAAGATTACCAGTACGGGACTTGATCCCATCCCCCAGGACAGAGGCTTCAATGTCACTCCTGCTCCTCCCTAGGATGCCTCCCCAACCCCCAGGGAGGTGTAAGGAGGGATCCCCATACAGAACATAGGGGCTCCAGCAGCCTGTCATCCACGGGAAAACATATTTGTTCCCCTCCAGGTGGAGCTTCACTCTGCCCCACATTAGGATGGTGGCATCCTGTTTTCCAGGAGATTCCATCTAAACGTTGCCATGTGCTGTGTTGTTCTTACCTGCCTATCCTGCAGGCCCATTGATTCCCCAATACCCAGCCCCATCCTTTAATGACAGCATTTCCTGGTTGCCTAACAACATCCCTCAGAGCTCAGGGGGCTGGATTTGCTTGTTCTTCAAGGGCCCTAAAGCTGGAGTGTGCCACCCAGGGGAGGAGGTGGCTGAACACAAGGCACGTTTGGGTCCTGTTTCTTGGTAGGCCCAGTTGTGTGCAGATCCCCTTCCTCCTTGCTCTCACCCCATGAACTTCCCAAGCTTCTATAAACGTGCTACCACAAAATCAGGGACCAGAGTATGGGTTAAGAGACAAAGACTTTTATTCTTTGACCCTGTGTCTCTGAATGTGCTGGCACTTTTAGAAAGCTCTTGGAATACGTCCTGGCTGCCACAGATGAGAGTAGGAGCCCATGGAAATCAGAGTCGTCCAAGTGGTGAAAATAGCAGTGAAAATAGCAGCAAAAGATGTAGCAGAAGGGAGGAGGTAAGAGCAAAAGGTTAGAAGGGTCCTGAGAATTTAGTGAGAGAAGGGGTTCTAGTGAGGACCCCAGGTGTGCCCCCTGCATTCTCCCCTTGTCCCCCACCCAAGAAAGAGCTAGTCTCCTCCCAGGGAGCTTACCTGTTGGGCAACATGGAAGCACCCCCAGTGGCCAGCCTGACCTGCAGAGTCTACACCACCAGGGACATCTTCAGGTGACACCAGTCCTCTGTAGCTTCTCACACTCCCGTTTCCAAGCATCCAGCTCGGACGCTGAGGGTGTGGTTTGTCGCCAAACCAAAGACTGTCTGAGCTCCTGCTACCATGCAA